CCCCGGTTCTTTATAAATCACTGCACAATATGTTGTCATGACCAATTATGACCAAAAAAAGAAGATTTAAGCAGCCAAGGCTCAAAAACATTTTGAAAGACCTACTGAGAGCCTGAAGTGTACTAATTAAGACCACTTTACAAGAAAGTCTGGTTTAAAAATACAATGAACAGAAAGCAGAAAGAAATAGCCACACATTTAAGCTAACTCTTCAAACTCAAACAACAGATGTAGTTTATCTTACCAAAGGCGAACTTCAATTTCACCTGCTTGATGTTAAATTAGGAAAAAAAAAATTATTTGTGATTGTTATCCAGAAACTGGAACCTTGGCACAAAAAATATAATTTGTTTCTCCTTTTGTAAAACTTTCATATCCTTGCAGCCCCTTTMCCTTCCCCTTCTACAAATAATTCTGTTATATGCTCTAAACTTTAAGTTATAAGAAAAAAATCATTTTTACATAATGATAAATAAGAGTGACAGTAAAATCATTATTTCCCTCAACTTTTTTTACACTATACATAAAATGCAATGTTAATCTCTTACCTGCTCAAATCAAAGTCGTGCATTTCTCTTTGTCTCTTCAGGGAGATTTGTCGCACAAAATCCACTTAATCAGAAAGAGGAAGATGGGACCAACTCGTCCTTCTCTAGCAGCAAGTGAAATTAGAAAAAAGAATGGAATCCGCAACATGTCATTTCCTGAATGCTTTATTGAACTACTGCTTTAAAAAGTACAGTTAGCCTTTAAAATCACAAAACGTGTCTTTATTGATCTATTTGATGGATACATGATACAGGTGGTTTGCATGAGAAGAATTAGTGTTTGGGGATTTTTACATGCCGAGATAAAATGTATGAAATCATTTCTCGAAAAATATCAGGGTTATTTCTAGGGGGAAGTCAGCGCAGCTGTGACTAGTTTCTTCCTGTTTTAATGCTTGGTTGCAGAATGTTGATGTTTCTGTAAGTGACATTCTGTTGAACGTATAATAAAAAATAATCCTAAATGAGTCTGTTTGAAGGATTTTAAAACTCTTGTTTCCACCTCAGTTTATAAACTGGTATTTATTCAACTTTCTACAATCATACCAGCGAATGTCAATTTAAAAATCATTGCATAGTTTCCATGTGTTTGGTTTTTGAAAAACAGTCAATGTTCTTTAATTTAACTCCTCATCCTCTGCTCGCGTGCCAACTGACACAGTCCACATAAAGGCAGGCAGGCCATGATAACCCAGTCATCACACACTGAGCCCTGAGGGGGGAAAATAATAAATTGGTTAAAAAAATAAATAAAAAAACAGGCAGCAAAAAACAATGAATGATGCAAACCAATGTAAGCAATTTTTCTTTCAAAATTAGAACTGCATTCCATGAGCTTAAGATTAGCTTTGCATTGGCGTACTTACYTCAATATTATATTTACTTCGGATGCTTGTCCTCAAAGCAATCATGGCTCCTGGGAGGAAAGGCAGACAGCAACTGTCCCCATTRTCCTGAGCTACCTTGCAGCCCAGAATACAGGGAATAAATGTTGCACAAAGACCTAAAGAGGACAGGAAGACCTTTATTTTACACTGCGGATAAAAACAGTCAAATTATATTTCCTCACAAACACACAAAAACACGTACAAATGCCACAGTCGTCACAGCAGTCGCACACGCTTGTACTCCACTCTGACCGTGCAGCAGATACAGTGTACTGTGTTACAGTGACAGGCTGCGAGCCGACCACATTAGAGTGGAATGCCATGGCTGCAAGGAAAAGAAAAGAGTAATTAGGATTTTATTAAAAATTAAAAAGCCCCAGTTCTCTTATAAACACAGGCATTTTTATTGCCATATTAGTAGCAAAGTTTCCTTTCGRCACAATTCCTCATATTTGTGTTGCATCATTAAAGCATCAGGAGGTCCTCAGTGCAACAAAATTAAATCTACCTCTACTCAATTTACAAAAAAGATCATTCTAATAAGTTTTGGATCAATAATTTGAAGACTTCATTGTAAAGTTGCAGAATATCCATAGTTCAGTTAATAAAAACACAAAAAACCTATTTAGTTTGTGTTTTACCTTGTGATGATAGTTGATATCTCCTGAACGTAGAGGTTGATGTTGTTGATGCCACCCTGAAGGAAAAAGGCCTKACCACGGTTCTTATAGCCAGAGTGACAACATATAGAAGCCATAGCCCAGTTTCAATGCTGTAGTCACACGCCAAACATTTTGCCCATTCATCCAGGTGCAAACATGATGTAAAAATAAAACYGTATTTAGCTTCAGGGCGTATCAGGCTCATCAAAAGAGTACACATAGCACGAGTACATTTTTATCAGCAGTAAGTCATAAAAGAACAAAGCAGACTTATAGRACATATTTATATTTTAACCTCTTTGCTAAGGTGTGGTGTGTGTGCATACTGAGGGTCCAGCTGAATGCATAAAAAAGAGTAAAAAAGGAACTGTGACGCCCAGCTGCAGACCATTAATAGGTTTGTGCTCGTATGCAACAACTTTTGTAAGGGTGGCTTTTAATATGTGTGTGGTGTGTTAATTACTTCCACACTTCTCTTTGTCCTACAATGTTAGTCACCCATGCTTTTACAGTGTTTTCTTTTAAAYGTTTTGCCCACTAAATAGAGTGTAAATCCCATTCATGCAGTAATATGCATGCAGGGAGACGTGGGGTGTTCTAAGCCGTGCTCGAGGAATCTTCGATACACTGCAGGATCTGAGGACACTGATTGGAAGGTGGCCTCTCGACTGGGCCATTTTTAACTATTTGGTAATCCGGAAACACTGAAACCACAGCAGATAACGTGGTGCTCACACTCTTTGCTTCCTCCCACGTGTAACTCAGAAAGTCAAACCACAGCTGGGCCAACAAGTTCCTGACTACAACTATTTGAATAAGAACAAACAAAAAAATATCTATAAACCAAATTCTCAATAATAAAAAAAGTGTAAGCACTACTTCCACCTTATGTTGGGCATAATGCTGAAGTATTTACTCATGTGGAACTGTTATTAATGCTTTTTGTTGAGTCTTTTCTTTTGAATATAATGTTATATTTCCTGTAGTTGTTTTTTTTTTTGTGTGTTTTCATTTGGTCCGTCCTTTTGTTTTCCTTTGCACCACAAACCCAGGGGTGTTCAATCCTGGTCTTCTAGGGCTGCTATCCTTCATGTTTTACTTGTTTCCCTGCTCCAACACGCCTGATTCAGTGATAGAATTGCCTCTTCAAGTTCTGCAGAAGCCTATCAATCACAGATTCATGCAGGGTAGTCTCCCTTTAGGACCAGGACTGGGCACCCCCCACGCACTTCTCCTTCAGTCTCTGCACCTCAGTCCTGCCACGCATCTCCATCCACCCCAGTCCTTTTATTCCATCAGTTTCACCTAACTCAGCTGGCTTTTCATCCTGTCTGGTTTTCTTTCTGATTATCTCTCCATTTTATGCCAGTTTCAGCAGCCTTTTGTTTTGTTAAAACAAAATTTAGTTTTAGGTTTATCCGAGCTCTTGTCAGTCTGTGTTTCCTGGTTCTAAGCTGTGACCGCAACAGCCTGAAGTGCCTTCTCTTTTCTCCTCTAATGGTAATATAATATTGTAGATCTTCCTTGAGTTTTAAAATGTAAATAGTTACTCCACCTAAGCCATTAGTACTGGTATTTCTATATTTGCCTTGTGCCGTGTAACTTTACATGCCTTTTTATAGGTGTGTGCTTGTACTCTCATTCCAAGATCTTAGTTCAAATATTTATTTGTCTCTCCTTAAGTCAAGATTTATATTTTACAACTTGGATGAATCAAGTTTGTTCACCAGATTTTAATTGCACAATATGCTGATTTAGTTTCTTTGTGCCTCTTTTATCAGCTAAGTGCGAGCAAAATAAATAAATAAATAAATAAATAAATAAATAAAACAATAAGAGAAGTATAAGCTATCAGAGGAGTAACTGCTCCCTTTAGTACCAGAAAATTGTTTACATTTTTATAACCTGAGTGTTCGCAATTTTCATATAAATATGCATGAACAGCATTAGTGATGTTTCACAACTGATCTTACCAGAAGACCCTAAACGTCTTCTCAGAGGCAGACATAACCACAGGAGTTCTCAGTTCCCTAGAAATTTAGGACATTGGTGGRTTTTGAAAATAAATCACATGACAACACTGAAATAAACACATTTTACTTTTTTTATTTTGTTGTTGTACAGTCATTGTCTGCCGTCTGGTTTGTGACTCATCCCTGCACTTAAATGTTCCCGAACTAAGTTTGCATTTGTTTGTCTGCACATGACCTCCATTTTAGGTCAAATTGACATCTGAAGGCAACAGTTCAGATCTTTTGTTCTGGGGTTCTGTAGAAATGTCATGAACAAAAACAATCTGAACAACCTGCAGTTGGTCTAGGCCTCAATCAGACCAGCTGTTAGCTCATCGAATCAGTCAGAATTAAACTCTCATATATATATATAGCGGGTAAAATAAGTGTTGAACACGTCACCATTCTCAGTAAATATATTACTAGAGGTGCTAATGACATGAAATTTTCACCAGATGTCGGTAACAACCCAAGTGATGCATACATACAAAGAAATCAAATCATAAATGTCCAGAAATGAAGTTATTTGTAATAATGTGGAATGGCACAGGGAGAAAGTATTGAACACATGAAGAAAGGGAGGTGTAAAAAGGCATGGAA